CCCTGCACCATCTGCGGCAAGAAATTCACGCAGCGCGGCACCATGACACGCCACATGCGCAGCCACCTGGGCCTCAAGCCCTTCGCCTGCGATGCCTGCGGCATGCGCTTCCCCCGCCAGTACCGCCTCACTGAGCACATGCGCATCCACTCGGGCGAGAAACCCTACGAGTGCCAGGTGTGCGGCGGGAAGTTCGCGCAGCAACGCAACCTCATCAGCCACATGAAGATGCACACGGCCGGGCCCGACGGCAAGCCCAAGCTGGAGCTGCCCGACAGCCTCTATGCCATGGCCCGCCTGCCGCCCGACCAGCTGGGCCTGCAGCCGGACAAGGTGGCGGAGCTGCTCTCCCACACCCACTTCCTCAGCGACCCCAAGGCCATGGAGAGCCTCTATCCACTGGCCAAGTTTACGGCCGAGCACCTGGGGCTGAGCCAGGACAAGGCGGCTGAGGTGCTGGGCCAGGCCCCGCACCTTCACCTGGATGCTGCCCGGACCATAGATCGCTACTCGCCCACCTAGCGGCTGCCTGCACCCGTGCCCCGTGCCCGCCGGAGCCGCAGAGGCCGCGCTGTGGCTGGGCCTCTTCGCGCCACCGCCCCTCCCCAGACGGGTCCCCCCTCTGGGGCCTTTCGGGGGTGACGGCCATAGTGGGGGCTGCGATCGCCTGGCGGCCGGTTCCTAGGAGCCAGAGGGACCTACCTGATGGCGCTGGACGTGCAGAGCAGCAGGTGGCTGGTGGGAGCACCCCCCACCGGTCCGACCCCCTCTCCAGCGCGGTGGCTGCCCTGAGTGGGTGCTGGAACCGGTGACTGGGCAGAAGCCTGCCACCTACCTCGGAGCCCAGCGCCCAGCTCCTGCCCTGAGCCATGCCCCCTGCTGAGAACGAGCCCTGCTGTGCCCACTGCATTCGTCCCCTCTGCCTTCCCCAGGGGAGACCCCCGGGCAGCCGGGTCCCTGGGGGCGGCAGGGCAGGGCTTGCCCAGAGGTCCTGGGATTCTGCTGCTGCAGCTCCAGGTCCCCGTTTCTCTGTGAGGATGACCTCCCCCAGACAGGGAGGGAGGGCCCTGCCCATGGCAGCAGTTGTCTGGCTGCTGGATTTCCACCCCCCCTCCCCAGGGCATCAGGACTGGGACTCCCAGGGTCTGTGCTGGAAGCACTGCACCCCAGAGCCAGCAGACCCCAGCCTGACCTCACCTCACCAACTCCTCTGCCAGGAGCTGAGCCTGCGTGCTCTGCCTGGGAGCCAGAGGAGAGTGGGGTTAGCTATGTCCCCAGCCCCTCCAGGCCACTCACCAAAGATCCTCTGTCACCCTAGGGCTCACCTGGCTCCCCAGAAACCAAAGCACCCACCAGGGTGGGGGGAGGAGGGGCCCCATCGCTGCCTGCACTCAGGGACAACCCCTGGGCCCTGCTGACCCAGGCCGGGCCTGGCAGCCTCAAAGAACCCCTGTGGGGGCAATGCCCAAGTCACCTGCCCCGGAGGGAGCTTTTCTGCAGCCCCCGACCCTGCATCCGAGGCAGGACCCGTCCCCAGACTGAGCCCCTGGGAGCCCCCAGCAGTTCTTCACGGTGGGGCACTTGGCCCACAGCGACTCGCTGCTGCTGGGGGCACGGGGGAGCTGGGCAAGGCAGGGAGCTCCTGCTTACAATCTCTTACTGGACTTCAAGGCGCTGGGCTCCCTTCTTCCCCGTCCCCGGCTGGGCTGCGGAGAGAGCTGTGCCCAGCCATTGCTGCCGTGCACGAGCTGTCCGTGTCCGGAGCGGTGGCAGGGGAACCCGTGCTGTGGGCTACGGGCAGTCGGACAGGGCCAGGCTTGCCCAGGCACTACTGGAAGGGTCCGTCCCCGTGGAGGGCAGGAGCGGGGGGGGCACAGGGCATCGGGCTGAGCCTTCTCCACTCGCCAGCGCCAGCGGAGCTGCCCTGGGCTGGGGCGTGACAAAGACAAAGCAATCTGGTTTGTCAGCTACTTCCATGCGGGAGGGACGAGCACTGGGCAGGAGAGGGCAGGCAGACGGTGCCTCTGCTCTCCGGCCAGCTTGGGCTGGCCACTCCAGGGGCAATGGCACGAGGGGGGATGGGGGCACGCAGCCAGCGCCCCCGTACAGCAGTGCAGCTGGCTGTCCCCAGGCTGAGCCATGCTGCCTTCATGGCGGTAGCTCCCCTGTGCCCCGGGGAGAGTGGGGTGCAGCTGCCAGGGGCTCCCCGGCTTGGGCCCCACCTCGTGCCTTCCTGGCTCTGCCACCCCAGGGCTCCCGACCCCACCTTTGCCTAGCTGGGGGTGAATGTGAAGCTTCTTTCCTTCCCTGACGCTCTTTTCCCCTTTGCACGCGAGGCCCAGAGGCGGCTGCGCTGACCCCAGTCTGCAACCAACTGTGCCTTTGCTGAGCGGGCTACCCCCCCAGCCCAGGCCCCAGCCCCAGGCGGCTCGGGGCGTGAACGTGCAGGTGCCTGGTGTCTGGGCCTGGGGCTCCGGCTGGGGGTGCTGCTTCCAGGTTCTCCTGTTTGGCTGCACCAGGAACCAGGCCCGCCTGGTCCAGGAGTGACCGCAGGGCTGGGGGCAGCGTTGGACATTTTTGCCCCCATGTCCGCTGGCCAAGCAGCTGCTGGAGCCAAAGTGCAGGAGGGGTCTTGTGCCCCCCCACCCCTTGTATATTGTCCTGGTTTGTACTGGGGCCTGTGCCCCCTTTTCTATATCCCAAAGCAGCGAGCAATAAAGACATTAACAGAGCAGGCCTCAGCTCCTTCTGTCGGTGGGATGGGCCTGGCGGAGGGAATAGAGGGGCTCCAGAGGCCTTGCAGAGGTCAGGGGTTGGCAAGAGGGACCCCAGAGCTGGGTTTGTGGCTGCTCTCGCAGACCCAGGCTGGGAAAGGGCTGATGCTGTGGCTCTAATGCGACTGGCCCGACGAGGGCCCTAGGAGGGGGAGGTGGGGGGCAAAAGCAACCATAGACGTGGCGGCTGCTTTCCAGCGCTGGCAGCGCATGGGGAAGGCGGCGCCTGCAGCGTTTCCCTCCCAGCCGGGAGGCCGGACTCACCAGGCGGCGGAAGAGGAATGGCTGCAGCTCCGTTTTGGCCCGGGCAGCAGGGTCCAGCCTGGCGCTGGAGAGGGTTGGACTGGGCGGCCCCAGCAGCTTTGTCTGGTCTCGTGGTCTGTAGGTGCTGTCCTGGCCCCAGTCAAGTCCCTGGGGACCCCTCAGTGCGCAGGATGGAAGTGGACAGTTTCTTTGATCTCCTTCCCTTCCCCCCCCCCC